GAGAGGAAGGGAGAGAGATAGAGAGCTAGAAATGTCGATGAGAGAGAAACATTGACCAGCTGCCTCTTGCACACCCCCTACTGGGGATGTGCCCACAGCCAAGGTACATGCCCTTGACCGGAATTGAACCTGGGACCTTTCAGTCCGCAGACAGATGCTCTACCGCTGAGCCAAACCGGTTTTGGCTTCTTATAATTTTTTTTTTTTTTGTGTGTGTGTGTGTGTGTGTGTATTCCTGTGGCTTCTTTGTCATCTATCTTCTTTCATTTCTGATTTTATGCATGTGGGTCCTATCCTTTTTTTTTAATGACTCTAAAGTTTTATTAATTCTATGTGTATTTTTTTTTCCAAAGAACTAGCTTTTGCTTTCATTGATCTTTTATATATTTTTAGAACCTATTTTGAAAGAATTTTTCTGCAGCTGGATTGGGAGAATAGTGCTATTGCGTAAAAATTTATTTTTAAAAACTTGGGACATATTATCAATAGTATGGGAATACAATGTCAACATCAAATAGCATTCAGACCACCATAACTGTGCCTCATCCCACTATAGCAGCATAACTACCATCAGGTTTGGTATCAGCCAACATGTAGGCAACTGGAGCTTCCTCTCCTTCAATAATCATGGTTCCACAATAATCTTGGAAGGACAGCAAAATGGAAGAAGACATTCGTCCCTCTATCAAGATACCCATAGCAGTCGCCGAAACTGGTTTGGCTCAGTGGATAGAGCGTCAGTCTGCGGCCTGAGGGGTCCCAGGTCAGGGGCATGTACATTGGTTGCGGGCACATCCTCAGTGGGGGTGTGTTCAGGAGGCAGCTGGTCGATGTTTCTCTCTCATCGACGTTTCTAGCTATCTGTCCCTCTCCCTTCCTCTCTGTGAAAAAATCAATAAAATATAGAAAAAAAGAAAAAAAAAGATACCCATAGCAGTTACAAGGAGCACACAGAGCTCAAACCTTCATTTCAAACATGATCTCCAGGGCAACTTGAGAAACAATTTCAGCTCATTCTGCACAAAGGGCTTGTCTCATTCCCCTCCTGAACAAAATGTATGCAATTTCAACAAAAGACTGTGTGACATCAAAGCAGAATCTAAAACGTTATAACAATATCCCACTACAGGGCACTCTGTTACAGAGTTCCGGAACAATCAAACAGTGCAGGAGGAGAGTTTGGAGAGATTCACTTTATTCATCGGGCAATGGGCTTAAGGAAAAGGAATTCAAATTCTAAGCAAAGGTACAAGCAGAGCTTCCCTTTTTATGAAGGAGCCAGCTCTCTGTGCAATTAGTGGTTATCTCGCTGCTGTCTTTGAAAACAAACACAGCTAAATTTATGGGCATACCTAGTCTTGACCTGCAAGGTCAGACAGTTAATTTTATGATCCTCATTTTACAAGCAGGCTAAAGCAGGCTAGAAAGCAAACATTTTTAGAATAAGAGGCTATCTAAGAAAAACAGCAGAAAATTCCAAACAGCAGTTTTTACAAAATAGGGGTTTTCCTTCTCACTCTACCTCCTGGTCCACCATTTACTTGCAAATTGAGTTTCTTTGAACAAAATTGTAGTGGAAGACTCGAACAAATCTATAGAAAATACACTAAGCGGGTTTCAAAATGAGAAAAAGAACAGAGAAAGAACTTTGAGGGTATGCACCGCCTTTCCCTGCATGTGAGCAGACACACCTGGAAGGCCTTGTAGCCTGCCCTTGCTTTTTTTTCTCCCTCTCTCCTCCCACATCCCTTCCCACTGTGCATTCCTGAGAATCCATGTCCTAGTCAGCCACTAGGATGAGGGCTGTTTGTATTCCACTCAGGTGTGCTTAAGCAGGAAAACCACTGAGAAAAACGGAAAAGTTTAGTGAGGTTCTTTATCAAGAGTAACAATGACAAAAGCAGTAACAAGCCAAAACCGGTTTGGCTCAGTGGATAGAGCATCGGTCTGTGGACTGAAGGGTCCCCAGGTTCAATTCCGGTCAAGGGCATGTACGTTGGTTGCAGGCACATCCCCAGTAGGAGGTGTGCAGGAGGCAGCTGATCATTGTTTCTCTCTCACTGATGTTTCTAACTCTCTATCCCTCTCCCTTCCTGTCTGTAAAAAAATCAATTATATATATATATATATTTTAAAGCAGTAACAAGCTACAAAAAAAATAGGTGACCTGAATCACAAGAGGAAGCAGTTTTGCAGCATGTTCTTCACGGGGGTCACTACACACTGTCCTTTGCAAAGGGTAGATGATTTGCTCAGCGAATGCACTAATTTAACAGTAGCCCTAAACAGGTTCTCCTGCAATGGTGGGGAATTAGGAGGCTACAGTGTGGCTAGCAAAGGATATATACAGGAAGAACCATCTTACGGTAAAACTGAAAATTTCTCCCTTGCCTCCAGCATAATCTCTACCTTTTCTGCAGTTTAGTTCCTCATTTCAGTTCATCCTTCTCTTTGCCCTCAGTCCCAGGTACTGACTGTTCAAACATAACCTTCTCTCAGGGGAAAAATAGATGGGATAAGAGTAAATGTGATAAGACTCTCGCATTGTATTATCCAATTCGGTAGCTACTAACTGCATGTGGCATGTTACATTTCAATTAAAAGCAACGAAAATAAAATAAAATAGAAAAATGTGCCCAACCAGCGTGGCTGAGGGGTTGAGCGTTGACCCATGAACCAGGATTGCCTAGTTATAGCTCATTGGTTGAGCAGCTGTGGCATCTTCTCAGTGACTCTCCCACAGAGCCATGTGTGACCCTTTCCATTAGCGCCATATGCCAGGGCTACGGGGAAAATCTCTCTATACAGACAAGGAACTCCTCGTGCCTTCTCAGTGGAGCTCTTTGATGAAAAGACCATCTTGTAGGGTGGGTCTTGAGACCTGATGGTTTCCACGGTGCAGGTGGATGCAGCAACACTAAGTCTGTCTGGCCCTTGTGTTTGCCGTGATGGAGACTACAGGAACCATCTGCTCTTACCCCAATGTATCACCAGTGGATTTCATGTAACCCACTTGAATCTTCTCTTCTGATTGTGATATATATTGTAAAACTAGAGGACCGATGCACGAAATTCCTGCAAGAGTAGACCTTCCTTCCTCCGGCTGCCGGTACCCGCTTCCCGCTGGCACCTGGGACCCGGGCTTCCCTCTGGCCGCCTGCAGGACCTAGGATCCCGGCTTCCCTCTCGGCACCAGCTTTGTCCGGAAGGACATGTGGTCTAATTAGCATATCACGCTTCTATTATTATATATAAGGTACAAAACTGCCATTCCCAGGAACAATATCTCAATCCATTGACATTTTGCTTCCTGACAATAAACTCACAAAAGTTCTCGTGAGGTTTGAATGATTCTTACACTGACAGATGGAACCCAGTTTTCTGATGAATCTCACTACTGCTGGATTAGACAGTGTAACTGTGGTAGGCATCAGGAATGGCACCAGGTGTCTGGGCTCAGACCAAACACGGGCTCAGAAACCTGGGTTCTTGGGTTCTGGCTAGGAAAGAACTCAGAGCAAAACCCAAAGGGTAAGAGAACAGTTACTGGGTAAATTACAGAGGTAGGAGAAGTAATTCTTAGAAGAAACGTGAAAGAATGAGAGAGGCCGAAAAACCAGGACTACAGGCTTTATTAGAGGAGAAGAACCCTGCTGGGCTATCTCTCAAGGGGAGAGCAGCAACATGTGCTCAGCAGAGGGGACCACGTCTTTTGAGAGGAGGAATGGGAGGCAATGGGGCTTAGGGTACTCAGCACGTGCTGGTTGGTGGTCTCATATAAGGCACATGATTAGGCACTTAGGTGCTTAGGAATCAAGGGCTCAGGGTATTTGCCAGGTGCTGATTGGTGGTTCAATGTAGAGACCATATAAGGTGCCTAGTTAGGTGCTCAGGAATGTCCAGACCGCAGGTGCAGGTTAGATCATACTCCGTCCACCAGTTGGGGGAAGGAAGGATCTATCAAAATGGGGTTTGGAAAGGAGGTAAGGAGGTAACCGAAGGGCCCTTGGAAATTGAGAGTGCAAGCTAATGGTAACCTGCCTTGTGGGGGTGAAGAGGAGATGGAGGGAGAAGGGAAAGGTACAGGTGTGCTCCCGGGAGGTCCTCCTTCCTGAAGGGTTTAGGGTGGAGATTTCGGGGGAGGTCCCAGGGGAAGAGCTGAATGGAATATTCTGTAGCTTTCCAGGTGTGTCCATTCAGGGATGTGGCCTCCACTGATGGATGGGCCGGCACCAGGGCAGGGGCATTATTCAGTGCAGCTGGTCCTGATGTCAGCCCTGGCGTTTTGTTGCTTATCTGGGCCTGGGGCTGGAGGAGGAAAAGTCACCCTGGGGACAAGGTCACCCTGAGGACAAGGTCCCCCCCTACAATTGACTGCCCATTGCTGGACACCTGGGCTCTCCACCCTGGTGACCTCTGTACCTGGCCCGTCTCCCTGCTCTGCGTGGGTCTGTGCAGCCCACAAGATAACCACAAGTAAGGGTGGCTCATGACTTCAGAGGACCGTGACTGAATCACCAGTGGGAACACATTTTTCAAGTGAATAATATTTTCTAAAGGTAACCATTCTGAATACACAGGGCATGATGGCTTGTTTCTGGTTCCAATGCTCTTCCTGGGGATCTGGCTGTAGTTCTGGAAGGATCCCACCCTAAGGCATCCCTGGTCCCTGAGCCTGTGCACCTTTTTGGCAAATGCACACGTCAGACTCCAGCTGTCATCAAAGATCAAAATGGAGCCAGATTCATCAGGTGCCTTTTCAGGGTGTGTGTTTGCAAGGAAGGACCTCTGTTCCCTGGGGACTCTCAGCCCTGCCTCTCAGTGCAAATGTCCTGGACAGGAGCTGTGGCTGCTTTGGGCTCAGGCCTGTGCACCTCGGGCGCTAGGGGGCGCTGTCTGCGAAGTGTGTGCAGCTGAGCTGGGCGCCAGGTGGGCGGAGCAGCTGTGGGGCGGGTAGATGGGCTATTTGGGGAGCGGGTGGGTGGTGCTCTTCTTCGCTTCCACACGGAAGTTCCCGGGGGTCGTACATCCCTCGCACTTCCGTCTTTCTCCTGTGATCTGTCCGGGCGGTGGGGCCGCAGGGGACTCGGGCCGGGAACGGACATGGTGAGTGACGGCCGGGCGCGGAGGCGTCTGTCCGCGGGCAGGTCCGGGCTGCGGACCCCAGGCGCCCGGGCTCCGCGGAGGCTGCAGGCCCCTCGGGCTCGCAGGGGGCCCCGCCGGGACCCGGGTCCAGGGCGTCCCCGCGGCGGGGCCTGGGGCTGCGGAGCGAGTCCGGGCGGCTCCGCGCCCACAGCCCGGGCTCCGCAGCGGGTGCGGGGCCGCGCGGAGGGTCCGTGGGGACCTGGGGCTCGGCCTCCGCGGTCCGTGCCCGGGGGGAGCTGTGGTCTGTGGCCTGTCCCTCCTTTCCCCCAAGAGGGACCGTGTTCTCCTGGGTGTGATGTGTGTGGGGCAGGCTCTCCAGTCCCCCCCGTCCCCCAGGCCCTGCTCTGCAGCCAATGCCTGCATTCCCAGCCTCTCCCCGGACCCTGAACCCCATGTTCCCTCCTGAGTCACAGCATCGTTATCAGCTGTTTGTTTTGTGGTGCTTTTCAAACGGTTAAAAACAAGATTCAGCTGAGTAAGTGGAAGGTCTAACGGGCTTGATTCCCATCCACAAATCCAGCCGCATCCCATCTGATAAATAGCACCTGAGGGCTGTTCAAGTGTCGTGTACAATAGGCAGGAAGGAGGCGTCTTTAAGAGGTTAGAGTAGTGTCTCAGGCGGGGTCCGCGTTCCTTAGGGCTGTGGTCGGCAAACTGCGGCTCGCGAGCCACATGCAGTCCTTTGGCCCCTTGAGTATGGCTCCTATACAAAATACCACGGCTGGGATGAGTCTGTTTTGAAGAAGTGGCATTAGAAGAAGTTTAAGTTTAAAAAAAAATTTGGCTCTCAAAAGAAATGTCAAACGCTGTACTGTTGATATTTGGCTCTGTTGACTAATGAGTTTGCCACCCCTGCTAGGGGAAGGAACAGCAGGAGTCTCTTAAACAGATCAGTGTTGAACAGCAGGTTGCTGGGTGACTGGGTTAGAATGTTACTCCTGGGAGAGGTGGAACTGCAGTTACACACAGGCATGCACCCCTGAGCCTGGGGAGTCCATCTTGAGGCAGTTTTGTTGTTTTCAGTTCTTACACACACCTGCATGGTGGAGCCTGCTACACACCTAGGCCACATGGGGTAGCCTGTGGGTCCCAGGCAGCAAACCTGTGCAACGTGGTGCTGTACTGAGTACTGTTGGCAGTTGTAACACAGTGGTAGTGAGCATTTATGAGAAGGCGCAGTAAAAATGTGGTGGCAAGCTGAAACCGGTTTGGCTCAGTGGATAGAGCGTCGGTCTGTGGACTGAAGGGTCCCAGGTTCGATTCCGGTCAAGGGCATGTACATTGGTTGTGGGCACATCCCCGGTAGGGGGTGTGCAGGAGGCAGCTGATCGATGTCTCTCTCTCATCGATGTTTCTAGCTCTCTATCTCTCTCCCTTCCTCTCTGTAAAAAATCAATAAAGTATATATTTTTAAAAATGTGGTGGCAAGATAGAAAATGGTCCATCTGTGTGGGCACTGACCCTGAATGGACTACAGGACTGGAGGCTGCTCTGCAGGAGTCAGTGGTCGGTGAGTGAATGTGAAGGCCTAGGACGCTCCTGTGCACGACTGTAGACTGTATCACACTGTGCACTGAGGCCAGGAAATGTACAAAACACAGATCCATCAAGCCCAGGGGGCAATGATGCAATCAAAAGGCTCAGTCAGCACAAGGCCTCTGAGGCTGTGCCCGCATAAACCAGCACACTGCTTCACAGCAGAGTTTTCTTTCACTCAGTAGAAAGCTCACATGGATACAGAGGACAGTGTAGCAAATACATGAACCAGCTCACCATCATCAGGTTTCTATTTAGTGATCGTAACTGTATGTGCTGGGCTTTCACAGGACTGGCTGCACAGGCAGCTTGCTTACACCAGCGTCATCATAAACGTCTGAGCAATGCATCTCCCTGTGACATTGTGATGGGTATGACATCACTAGGCATTGCAGTGTTTCAAATCCACTGTAATCTTCCAGTTTTATAGAAGGGATTTTATTTTCATTAAGTTAAATTGACATACAACATTATATTAGTTTAAGGTGTACAGCATAGTGATGTGATATTTGTATGTATATTGAAGTGACTATCACAATATGATAGCATCGGTTATCATACATACTTACAGAATTTTTTTTTCTTGAAAAGAGAACTTTTAAGATTTACTTTAGCAACTTTCAGATCTGAAATATGGTATTACTAACTGCAGTCTTCATGCTGTAAGCTGCATGTCCATGACTTCTTTTATAATTGGAAGTTTACCCTTCATCCATTTGACCCCCACCTTACCCCGTACACCACTCCTACAACCTCAGGCAACCATCTATCTGATCTGTATCTTTTTTAAAGGTTCCACAGATAAGTGGGAACACATGGCATTTCACTTTTTCTGATTTATTTTGCAAAGCATCCTGCTCTCAAGGTACATGAATGTGTTGTTACAAGTGGCAGAATTTCTTTTCCTACCTTGTTTCCCCGAAAATAAGACAGTGTCTTATATTAATTTTTGCTCCCAAAGATGCGCTAGGTCTTATTTTCAGGGGATGTCTTATTTTTCCATGAAGAAGAATACAGTACACATTTATTGTTAAATGAAAATAAAGGAAATTTATTACTGTATACGGTACGGTAGTACGGTAGTTGTCAGCACAAACCAGACAAACTGTGAAACCTACAGTATCAAGAATTTACTCATTTATTCAATGACAATCATGTCATCATCTTCTGAAACATCATCATAACAATCCAATTCCTGAATTTCCTGTTGAGTTTCTTGTGACTCCATTTCTTTCAGAATCAGTGGACCAAATCTCTCATGTTTAGCCTAGGGGAGGGCCTTATATTCGGGGGGATGCCTTATATTTCACTCAGAAGGAAACCTGTAAGTTAGGTCTTATTTTCGGAGGATGTCTTATTTTCGGGGAAACACGGTAATGGCTGAATAATACAATAGTGGTTTTCTATGTGTGTGTGCACCATTTTAAAAAATTGTTTAAAGTACTACATGTGTCTCCCTTTTCCCCATTGACATCCCCCATGCCTCCAGGACAAGCCCCATTGCCCCAGTGTCCGTGTCCATTGGTTATGCTGTTACGCAGGTATACAAGTCCTTTGGTTGATCTCTTACCTCTCTCCCCTCCCCTCCCTTCTTTCTGAGGTTGGACTGTCCAGTGTTTCTTAGTCTCTGGATCTATTTTTTTTCCCAATCAGTTTTTATTCATTATATCCTACATATGAGTGAGATCATGTGACATTTATCTTTCTCCTACTGGCTTATTTTGCTTAGCATAATACTCTCCAAGCTGTTGCAAATGATAAAAGTTCCTTTTTTAATCCACTTATCTACTGATGGACACTTAGGCTGTTCCCAAATCATGCACCATTTTCTTTTTTTCTGTTCATCAGATTTTTTTTATTCACTTGATTTTTAGATTCACTTGTAGATAGATATGAGAGAAAGGCACCCTCGAGTTTTGCCCGCTGCCAGACAGTCTAGTCTCTACCCGAATGAATCTGGATTCCCAGATTCTCACCCTGAACTGGGGTTAAGCACAGTCCGGAGCTTTTGTCTCCTTCCCACTAGGGCGATCCAGCGGCACAGTCAACAGTCCATCCTGTGCACACATTTACATGCATGCCTTCGGAGTTCTGCCTTCCGCCACTCCACTGAGTTTCCGCCTTACAGCCCAGATTCTCCCTGTATGAGCCTGGGTCCCCAGGGTCTCGCCTGGAACTGGGGTTCAGTGCAGTGGGAACCAGGGTTTGGCACAGTCCGGAGCTTTTATGTCCTTCCTGCTAGAGAACGCCAGCCAGGCACTCAGTCGCCCCTCCTCTCTGGCTTCATCCTCTTCGCAGGCGCGCACCATGTCTCCGTACCTCAGGCTTTTACGGCTCCTCTGATTTTCCTTGTGGTTTTCTCTTTCCTAGTTGTAGAATTTCTAGTCAGTCAGCTTTCCTGTGGTTCTGGATGATGTCCGTTTTGTCTTTTAGTTGTATTTTTTAAATTGTTGTGTGAGGCTGGAGTTTAGGTGTTTACCTATGCCGTCATCTTGGGTTTTCCTCCACCATTTCCTTTTAAACATTTTTTTTTTAAACACTCACTGGAGGTATTTTTCCATTGATTTTTTGGAGAGAGGGGAAGAAAAAAGGAAAGACAGAGAGAAATAATGACATGAAAGAAACATATTGACTAGTTGCCTCTTGCATGTGCCCACCCGGGGCCCAGGCTGGGAGGGGTGCTTGCATCCAAGATATGTGCCCTTTACCAGAAATCGAACCTGGGACCCTTCAGTCCTCAGGCCGATGCTGGTTCGGGCTTAAACTTTTTTTTCAATAAGTTGACACAGTAAATTAGTTTCAGGAGCCAACATAGTGATGAGACATGTACATAACTTACAAAGTCTAATATTCAACAGATAACACACGTGGTTAACTGAATATTATTGACTATATTTCCTATGCTCTACTTTACATCTTCCTGACTATTTTGTAACTACCAATTTGTACTTCCTTTTTGTTGTTGTTTTTGTTTGTTAATCCTCACTTGAGGATATTTTCCCATTGATTTTTTTTTTTTTTTTTTAGGGCGAATGGGAGAGAGAGGGAAAGGCAGAGAAACATTGATGTGAGAGAGAAACACATTGATTGGTTGCCTCCTGCATGAGCCCTGACCAGAGCTGGGCCAGGGAGGAGCCTGAAACCAAGGTACATGCCATTGACTGGAATCAAACCTGGGACCTTTTGGTCTGCATTCTGGTGCTCTATCCACTGAGCAGAACCAGCTAGGTCTTGTGCTTCCTTTAAAAAATAATAATAATTCCTTATTGTTGAAAGTACTACATATACAGGCAGTCCTGGGGCTACTTCGGACTTGACATACATCGTTTAGTATTTATGTTGCCATTTCCCATCCTATATATTAAAAAGAGGATATGCTAATTGACTCTTATGCTGTCACAAAGATGGCTGCGCCCCAGCCAATA